ATTTAGTTGAGTCTAGAGTTCTTCTTATTGCCAGGGAAAAAAGCAGCAATTCTTTTCCCCAAGAAATAATATAGAGGGTAAAACTTGTATTTATTTCCCTGAGTGTTATTTTTAATGTCTCTATGTGTTTTTAATCGGTGCTGCCTTTTCTCTCAATCATGCGTACAGTCCAGTTAATGCTGTGAGGATTTCAGGAAGCTTAGTGACCAATTAGAGATTAAATTTACAAGTGTAACATTGTAAAACTAACAAAAATTTTATTCATTTGGAATTTTCGTTGGCGGGAAAGAGATTAAGTTTATAAGTCATCATGATAAAAAATGAAATTTTACATAGTAAATTTATGAATAGACTTAGACTTTGCTGTTAACGCATATTAAATACGGAAAAGTATATTTAAAAATTTTATGTAATGCTTGAAATGGAGTTTAACATATGATTACGTTAAATGCATAAAATGCATGCTTTTATTCTTGAATATTTTGTTTGACTAGACGTACTTATTTTAATGTCCATTTAATAATGAGATTAGATCAGCTTTACAGTTGCCAAGTTTTATGGTTGTGGGCTATCTCGGATGCTCTATTTGGATATTGACAGTGTCAGGGTAAGTAGTTCAGATCAAGTCATTAAGTAGGCCACGGTTTGCATTGCAGGGACAGGAGAAAGGGAGCTAAAGGGAAGGTGGGCCTTTCGGGAATATGGGAGCATGAAAGTCCCAGAGTCCTGAGGCAGTAGCAGGGCCTGTGGGGGCGACGACACAGGCAGAGCGCTGTGGCTCCCAGTTTCACCCTGTCTCATTCCTGGGGGCCTGAACAAGTAGGTAAATAGCAAACCCAGGGCCCCCAGCCTGTTTCCCTTGCCTTCCTCCCTCCAGCTCTGTCTTGCAGAGCTATGGGGACCATGGTCAACTGTATGGACCCCTATGGATTTCTTTTCTTGGGGAATTGAGAGGAAAGATAGGGGCTGGGGTGGGAGGAAGCTTCGTGGAATGGGGCGGCGGGAAGATGGTAATTGCCGGTGAGGTGAGTGGTGGAGGGACTTGTCTGCGAAGCAGCCTGGAAGGAAGAGAGTGGCTCTTCATAGCCCAAATGTTGGAGGACCAGTCACCTCCCAGTGGCTGGAAGGGTTGACAGTAAGAATCATTCTGGTGATTGGGTAGGAGAGAAAGCAAAGTAAGAAGGGGACTGCTGCAAAGGTGGAATGGTAAGTTGTGGCCAAATGACAACTTCTCTGGGCTCCGGTTACCTTCTGCCTGTTTTCAGACTCTGGGAGCAGGAACGGGGGGGAAGGTGGTAGATGTTAGCATGTGGGACTGCCTTTTAAAATTATTTTTAAAGGACTGTATTTTTCTAAGTATCAAATTATGAAGTGCTCATTGTAGGAATCTTGACAACATAGGATATATAATGAAAATTAAAGTCAACTATAGTCTCACTAAGCTGGAACAATACCAAGTATGCGTCATTGTTTTTTAGATTCTCATTTAACAACTTGCTGGGTCCAGTGATACAAGTGCCTGTGAGACATAAAAGGGAGTAAATTCTTAAGATATATTTGTAAGTCATATATTGTGTATTAGATACCACTGAAAATATATAAAAACAAAATTATTATTAGACATATTTTGAAAATCATTTTGTGGCTGATGGTTATATGATACTTGATCAGCTCTAGAATGTCATTAATTATTAAAGGCCAAATTCTTATTTTTCAGCTATCTGTAGTTAGAGACTACTTCTTTTGGTTACCATTAGCTGCCTTTTTTATGCTTTCAAAATACTGTCTGTTTTTAATATTTTTGTTTGGTTTTTGTTTGAAATATTTTTAAAGTAAGAAATATAGTTAGTAATGAAATGCAATGTCTGTTAGAATGCAGTGTATATGCAGATGCATAATTAAATATTTGGAAGATAATAAAGAAGAAAAATAATAAGAAAAAAACCCTATAACTCTGTCACTGAATTGTTTAACTGGTATGATAAGAATTCAACTTGAAAAAAAGAAATCCCAGCAAAGACAGTGTAAGGCGGTGAAAGGCACCATTGAAACCACAGAGATCTGAGTTAGAATCCCCTCTCTGCCATTTATACCTGTTTATGTTTTTTTGCAAGTTACTCACCCTCTTATTTTTCTCAAGGGGAAAATAGGAATAATAATTGTTATGTTGCAAGGGGTGTCATAGGAGTCAATGAAATTGGATATGTGAAAGCACAGAACCCAGTGCCTGACTCATAGTAACTGCTTAATAAATGTGAATTCCATTCCCTACCTATTAAAACAGTAGGGGGTTGTGACATTCCTTAAGTTCTAAGTTATTTCAAGTTCCTAATGGATGTAGAGAACTTTGACAGACTACTGTACTCGGAGGCGGCCCCACGGCCAGGAATGTTCAAGATGGCTTTTGGTTTAGTGCTACCAAATATTTGTTTGGACAGGCCCTGGGAGATCCAGGAGATCATAAACCCCTCAAGACTGTAAAACTTACTTTGTAGAGTTTTTTTTCCACCTTGATCGTATGTTAGAATCACCTGGGTGCTTTAGAAAAATAACCAATATCAGTATCCCACCTCCAAAGATACTGGTTTAATTGGTCTAGAGCCAGGCCTGGATTCAGTGTTTTATTGTTACTGTTTTTTTAACACCCCGGGTGATTCTTAGGGGCAACAACCTTAAGGTAAATGGAAAGCCTGACTCATACCTGTAAGTTCCTTCGGAATTCCATTTTAAAATGTTAGTGGATACGATGAAGGGAGACAGCACTCATCCCCTCTTTTACACTAGTGTATCAGTTAGTTGGCTAATTGCTTATATCTGAGCCTACAGTAGAAGTCACATCGTCCTGGGTGCTTGAGGATCTTAATGAATAGAGTATTTTGGATCCAGAGTAACGTTGAAATTGATAGACTTTATGAGATCGTTTGATTTTGATCCATTTGAAATGGAATAGCTTTAAAATCTTTAATGTATTAGATGTTAATGTATTTTTAAATTCCTAGAATTAAAAATAAATAAATATGCTCACAGGGAAGAAAATGTCAATACTCCATAATTGTTGTCTTTACCTTTGTTTCAATCCAGAAATGTATTCAATTTTAAAGGGAGAAATGAACAAAATAAACTGAGGAACAAAAGAGAACCTGAGGCATGGAAGCATGGGACAGACTGGCAGCTGGCAGGGGGAGGGGGANAGGCCAAATTCTTATTTTTCAGCTATCTGTAGTTAGAGACTACTTCTTTTGGTTACCATTAGCTGCCTTTTTTATGCTTTCAAAATACTGTCTGTTTTTAATATTTTTGTTTGGTTTTTGTTTGAAATATTTTTAAAGTAAGAAATATAGTTAGTAATGAAATGCAATGTCTGTTAGAATGCAGTGTATATGCAGATGCATAATTAAATATTTGGAAGATAATAAAGAAGAAAAATAATAAGAAAAAAACCCTATAACTCTGTCACTGAATTGTTTAACTGGTATGATAAGAATTCAACTTGAAAAAAAGAAATCCCAGCAAAGACAGTGTAAGGCGGTGAAAGGCACCATTGAAACCACAGAGATCTGAGTTAGAATCCCCTCTCTGCCATTTATACCTGTTTATGTTTTTTTGCAAGTTACTCACCCTCTTATTTTTCTCAAGGGGAAAATAGGAATAATAATTGTTATGTTGCAAGGGGTGTCATAGGAGTCAATGAAATTGGATATGTGAAAGCACAGAACCCAGTGCCTGACTCATAGTAACTGCTTAATAAATGTGAATTCCATTCCCTACCTATTAAAACAGTAGGGGGTTGTGACATTCCTTAAGTTCTAAGTTATTTCAAGTTCCTAATGGATGTAGAGAACTTTGACAGACTACTGTACTCGGAGGCGGCCCCACGGCCAGGAATGTTCAAGATGGCTTTTGGTTTAGTGCTACCAAATATTTGTTTGGACAGGCCCTGGGAGATCCAGGAGATCATAAACCCCTCAAGACTGTAAAACTTACTTTGTAGAGTTTTTTTTCCACCTTGATCGTATGTTAGAATCACCTGGGTGCTTTAGAAAAATAACCAATATCAGTATCCCACCTCCAAAGATACTGGTTTAATTGGTCTAGAGCCAGGCCTGGATTCAGTGTTTTATTGTTACTGTTTTTTTAACACCCCGGGTGATTCTTAGGGGCAACAACCTTAAGGTAAATGGAAAGCCTGACTCATACCTGTAAGTTCCTTCGGAATTCCATTTTAAAATGTTAGTGGATACGATGAAGGGAGACAGCACTCATCCCCTCTTTTACACTAGTGTATCAGTTAGTTGGCTAATTGCTTATATCTGAGCCTACAGTAGAAGTCACATCGTCCTGGGTGCTTGAGGATCTTAATGAATAGAGTATTTTGGATCCAGAGTAACGTTGAAATTGATAGACTTTATGAGATCGTTTGATTTTGATCCATTTGAAATGGAATAGCTTTAAAATCTTTAATGTATTAGATGTTAATGTATTTTTAAATTCCTAGAATTAAAAATAAATAAATATGCTCACAGGGAAGAAAATGTCAATACTCCATAATTGTTGTCTTTACCTTTGTTTCAATCCAGAAATGTATTCAATTTTAAAGGGAGAAATGAACAAAATAAACTGAGGAACAAAAGAGAACCTGAGGCATGGAAGCATGGGACAGACTGGCAGCTGGCAGGGGGAGGGGGAGGGGGGCTGGATGAAAGAAGGTGAAGGGAGTAGCCAGAGACCTTATATGCACAGCCCTGGGCACAGACGGCAGTGTGGCGGTGGCCAGGGGAGGGCGTGGAGGTGGGCAAAGGGGGGGGATGGGGACTTCTTTAGTAATGTCAACAATAAAAACAAAAAGCAAAAAACCCCAGCCCTTCCTTTATTTTATTTTGCCATTTCTATTTAATACTGTTCTTGTCAATGTAATTAAACATATATGCTCTGTTTATGTAATTTGTTTTACAGAACCCATTTCTTTCTCTTGATTCATATTTTTTCTCTCTAGGCAATTTGACAGAGCTGTTGAAAAGTGGCGACGGTTTCATTATGACATGAAGGTATTTAATCAGTGGCTGACAGAAGCTGAGCAGTTTCTCCGAAAGACACAGGTCCCTGAGAACTGGGAACATGCCAAATACAAATGGTATCTTAAGGTAAGATTCTGAGATCCCTTTTTCCGAGCTGTGTTCCTCTTCGCCACAGCAGCACAACTGCTTAACTTTTTTTAGGTTCAGGTTATAATTCCTGACTTTCGTTGCCATTACTACACTTAGTAGAACATCACTGGGAGACTGTGCGGTGGATTTTTCTGGACAGGATGAGAGGTAGCTTCGATGTAACTGGGTTATCTGATGAAAGTGTAATTGAATCTGTGAGGCAGGGAAGCATCTTCAGGCAGGGTGTCCTGTGGCTTTAGGGCAGCGTGTGTTTTTGTTTCCTGTTGGTTCCTGTCCAGAAGAACTTGTGGTATACTTAGCAATAATGTAGTTGCTAGAAATATCCATCATGGTGAAATTACAGTTTCTGTTTCCCTAAGGACAATTGGTGGTGATGTAGCAATATTTCCATATATTCGATTGACAAAATGCCTTCTGAGATAGTCCAGAGGCCAAAACAATGCTGAGTTAATTGGAGATATTTATTGACTTTTTTATGGTTTATGTTAATGGAAAGGCAACATATGGATTATAACCAGTGTATCGTTTAATTTCAACTTGCTGTGTCTTTTGAGTATGCAGATAAAGATAAATTGGCTTGTGGAGATTATAATTCTGGTTATAAAATATACAGTTTAGGTATAAGAAATATTGTGTTTATTACACCAAGTCTTAAGTACTTTTGCAACTTTTTAAACTCGAATTGTTCACGGAGCTGTGTTCAATCATGGAGATTTGAATTGTGGCCAGTTTTTAATGCCAGAATATGCTGATCAAGACAGATGAAAGCAAAGAAGGTAATTTATTAAATAGTTCTGACATTTCAAAATGCTGGATTCGTAAAAGCAATATCATATTCAACTTTACAATCCTCTATTCTCAAATATTTTTGCATAGCAAACATGCATTTTGATATTAAGAAAGTAAGCATTTAAACACCTATGCATATGAATATAGGAAATATAGGAAATGAATAATTTAAAAATCTTGTGTAATTATGTGTATGCCAATCAAACTTATATACACACCAACATTGGCATTGGAGGTAGAAGAAATTTATGGATTTCCCAATCTGCCATCATATAGAAAGTACATTTTGTAATAGCACTAAAGCAAAATTTGAGCTAATGCAGCATCACTAGGTCTCTGACTTAAAGGCAGAAATATAAGTGCCATAGGAGGTTTTCTTGGGGAGATTATAAATCTCTTGCCATTTCCAAAGATATCTGACACAAAGTAATTATATTAATTTTTTTATTATAAAATAATATATACTCATTATGAAAAAAATGAAGCCATGTAGAAGTGTATTTATACCTCTGTTCTATTGTTGGTGTTTTGATGTGGGTTTTGGTGTATATTTCAGGTTGGCATCCTTGGGAAGCCCACTCTGAAATGGAGATTAGCATACAGCAGGTTTATCAGGGAATGCTTTTGGGAATCAGGCAATTGGTTTGTGATGTTCCTTGGTATAGTTTTCTTCATGTTTCCTATTCTTGAGGTCTTTGAAGCTTCTTGGATCTGTGGGTTTATCACTTTTATCAAAGTCAGAAATTTTAAGGCATTATTTTTAAAATTAGGTTTCTGTCCCCTCTCCCTTTTCAGGGACTCTGATTATACATATTGGGCTGTACTTTTTATTTTCAGTCTGTTTTGAAATAATTCATTTCACATCATTTCTATTGTAAAATTGTCAAATCTAATTTTTTGCAATATCTAATCTGTGATTAATCACATCCACTGTATATTTTTAACCTCAGACATTGCTTTGTGTGAGTCAACACATCGTTGAAGTGTGATTTGGGTTTTTTTACACTTTCCATGTCTCTATTCAATGTGTCAATCTTTCCTCTGTCTTCTTGAAAATATGAAATACAGTGCCCTGGCCAGTTTGGCTCAGTGGGTACAGCATCAGCCCACGGACTGAGGGGTCCTGGGTTCGATTCTGGCCAAGGGCATGTACCTCGGTTGCAGTCTCGACCCCGGCCTGCATTTGGTTGGTTGTTTATTTTGTTCATTAGATTCCACATATAAGTGAAATCATATGGTATTTGTCTTTCTCTGACTGCCTAATTTCACTTGGCATAATACTCTCCAGTCCATCCATGCTATTGCAAAAGGTAAGATTTCCTTCTTTTGTACAGCCAAGTAGTATTTCATTGTATAAATGGACCACAGCTTTTTGATCCACTCATCTACTGATGGGCACTTGGACTGCTTCCAAATCTTGGCTATTTTAAATAATGCTGCAATGAACATAGGGGTGCATATATTCTCTCAAATCAGTGTTTCAGGTTTCTTCAGATATATTCCGAAAACTGGAATTGCTGGGTCATAAGGCAGTTCCATTTTTAATGTTTCGAAGAAACTCCATACTACTTTCCACAGTGGCTGCCCCAGTCTACATTCCCACTAACAGTGCACGAGGGTTCCCCTTTCTCCACACCCTCACCAACACTTGTTTGTTGATTTGTTGATGGAGCCATTCTGACAGGTGTGAGGTGATATCTCATGGTAGTTTTAATGTGCATCTCTCTGATGATTAGTGACATTGAGCATCTTTTCATATGTCTATTTCCCATCTGTATGTCCTCTTTGGAGAAGTGTCTATTCAGGTCTTTTGCCCATTTCATAATTGGATTGTTTGGTTTTTGGTGTTGAGTTGTATAAATTCTTTATAAATTTTAGATATTAACCCCTCACCAGATGTATCATTGGCGAATATGCTCTCCCAATCAGTGGGTCGTCTTTTCATTTTGTTGATGCTTTCATTTGCCGTGCAAAATAAACATTTTAGTTTGACGTAGTCCCATTTGTTTATTTTTTTCTTTTGTTTTCCTTGCCCGAAGAGCTATAGCAGAAAAAATATTGCTTTAATAAATGTCCGAGAGTTTACTGCCTATGTTTTCTAGGATTTTTATGGTTTTGAGTCTTACATTTCAGTGTTTAATCCATTTTGTGTTTATTCTTGTGTATGGTGTAGGAAGGTGGTCTAGTTTAATTTTCAGCATCCAGCTTTCCCAACGGTATTTACTGAATAGATTCTCTTTAACCTCATTGTATGTTCTTGTCTCCTTTGTCAAATATTAATTGTCCATAAAGTCATGGGTTTATTTCTGGGATTTCTCTTCTGTGCCATTGATATGTAAGTTTGTTTTTATGCCCTTACCATACTGTTTTGATTAGTGTGGCCTTGTAGTATAGTCTGATGTCAGGTAGCATGATTCTTCCAACTTTGTTCTTCTTTCTCAAGATTGCTGAGGCTACTGGGGGTCTTTTGTGGTTCCATCTACATTTTTGGAATATTTGTTCTAGATCTGTGAGATATGACATTGTTATCTTGATAGGAATTGCGTTGAATCTATAAATTGCTTTGGGTAGTATGGACATTTTACTGATGTTAATTCTTCCTATCTATGAACATGGTATATGCTTCCACTTGTTTATATCTTCTTCAATTCCTTTCTTCAGTGTCTCATAATTTTCCAAGTACAGGTCTTTTACAGCCTTGGTTAAATGTATTCCTAGGTGTGTTTTTTTTTTTAATTTTGTATCCTGCTACTTCACTGAATTCATTTATCAGTTGTAGTAGTTTTCCAGTGGAATCTTTGGGGTTCTCTATATGGAGTATCATGTCATCTTCAAAGAATGACAGTTTTACTTCCTTCTTTCCTATTTGGATGCCTTTTAGTTTGCTTTTTGTCTGATTGCTGTGGCCAGGACTTCCAGTACTATGTTGAATAAGAGTGGTGAAAGCGGACACTCCTGTCTTGCTCACGATCTTAAGGGAAGCAGTTTTAGATTTTGCCCATTGAGTTTGATATTGGCTGTGGGTTTGGATAACTGGTAATTTTTTATTGGGTGTCAGACATTGTGACTTTTAACTTATTAAATGCTCGATATTTTTGTACATATAAATATTATTGACCTTTGTTCTGGGACAGAGTTAATTTAATTGAAAATAATTTGATCTTTTGAGCTTCTTAACTTTTATACTTTGTGAGTTTTGGATGTAACAGCATACTCTAGGGCTAATTTTGCCCATTCCCGCCAACCCCACTGAGGGAAAACTCTTCTGAGTACTCTTTCTAATGCCCTGTGAATGATGAGGTTTTTCACTGTGGCTGGGAGAATAGGCATTATTTCCAGTCATATATGAGCTCTAGTGATTATTACCTTTAACCCCTTTGTGTAGTTACATCCCAAACGTGTAGTTTCCTCACCTATATGAGCTGATCAGGACTCAGATGAAGACTGAAAACTGGAAGGGAGCTCTCTACAGATCTCTGATGTTCTTTCTCTGTGTGTCTTCTCTCTGCTACTCTGCTCTGTGATCTCTAGCCGTCTTGGTCTCCTTGAAGCCCCAACTCCATCTCTTCAACTCAAGGAGACCTCCTGGCTTTGTGAGGGTTCCTTCCATCCTTTGTCATAGCCTGGATCTCTCTCTAGACAATAAACTGGGGGCAACTGTAGGACTCAACTCATTTTTTCTAATTTCTCAGAGATCACTATCTTTCATTGCTTGGTGTTTATTGTCTTCAAAACCATTGTGTTATATATTTTGTCCATTTTAAAAAGCTTTTAGTCGAAAGGTTATATCTGATCCCTGTTACTTCAATTTGTCCAGAAGCAGAAGTGCAAAACAAATGATTTTGATGTCATTTGATCTTTTAGTACATATACTTCTACAAAATCTTGCAACTATATAATAATTTTAAATGCTCTGAGAATGTCTAAATGTCCCTCCCAGCGTCTTAACAATGTAGGTTAGTTGAAATTGGTGAACATTAGAACTTTTTCCTATAATTGGAGAATTTTTAAAAAGACTTTTATTTAGTTTGTTTTTACTCAGTTTATAGATGGAATAAGAAAGGGAATTATAGATCTCCAGGGAAGAGTTTTTCTAACTAAGGAACTTTGAATGATATCACAAATCCTCTAAACAGTTAAGGTGTTTTTCCCTAGTGATTAAGAATGTCTACAATCATGCACATGAA